GAAAAATAAAGCTGTTGTACAATTAAAATCTTAAAATAATATTTTGCACTATCTCTGGTAATTTGGTTATGTTCTAAAATAGTAAATTTTGGCTCAATAGTATATTATGTTTCCTACCATTATAAAATTTTGTGAAATTTTAAAATGAGTTTATTTATATTTTAATTATAGCATTGTAATGAATTATAAGCTTATTTTATTAAATAATGTGATTTTGAGGAGTTCTAAAAGTGGATGGAGGAAGTTTTATTTTGGTGCTAAATGTACATTCTGATACCCAAAGGTATATTCTAGTGCCAATGGCACATTGTGATACCTAAGGGTACATTTTGGTGCAAAGGGCATGTTTTGGTGCTATATACATATTTTGTTATCAAAATCTCTAATTATGTTTGTTGGGAGGCATAAGATGTTAGAATCTTTATATTTAGTCTGAGATAGAATGGAAGACATAAGGGGGCAGAATTCATTGAAATTATGTGTAATATGGAGTACTAGTTTATTTATTTATTTTCCAACATCATTATTTAAATTATTGATTATAATTACAATTCAACTTAGCACTGTGATATATTATGTTTCAGTAAAGTTAAAATGCTTTAATGTTGGAATTATTTAGAAATTTATATTAGAAAAAATATAGTTTGCTGAGTTGTTTTAGTTCATTGTGATTTCACTTTTTTTTTTAAGATCTGATAGGGGGAAAGAGCATGTTAAGAAGTAGTTTCAAGCTCTGATCTAAGTTTGTAAAGATATTTATTCCTTTTAACTTTATACAGTCATTGCTAGTTTTTATTGTTATATTATGTAGCTTTGTCTGTAGTCATGCCCTATAATTTAATATACATTTTGATGATAAATGAAATAAAAAAATATTGAAGAGTTTATTTAAAGCACTCAATGTTATTATTAGAAGTTCTGTGGTCTCTGGTTTATTTTAAGCAAGGATTTTAAAAAAATAAAAAAATTTCAAAACTAAATATTAGGATTTGTCTGTTTTAAGTCAACATAATATGACATATCTAGTCTATAAGTCTTATCGAGTTGAGTTATGACAAGCCTTTTTGATATCAAAGCATTAGTTTTATAAATTGATCATAAAATATAGTCATAGAAAGTTGATATGCAAGTTACGTGGGATAGTATTCGGTTTATCTGAGCATTCATTTCTATTTGTTTTCATCTGTATATATGCTCGGTCGAGTATTCTATGTGATTATGGATTAGCAAGTCCTAGATATGATAGATGGATATAGTGCCAGTTAAGAAGGATGACATGTACATAGTACTGTGCTAACGATAAGTTTTGATACAATTTTATAGTTTCTTTCATGTCCCAAGATCAAAATTAAAATAATGAATTATTTTATCTTTTAAATTATCAACCGAAACTTCTTTGAATCATTAATGTAAATTAATATATCCAATAGAAGTAAATCTATATATCATATACATCAAAATATAAAACTATATTCATTCCTTAAAATCATATTCACAATAATCATGAGATCATTACAATCAATAATCTATCTCAAACTCCTAACTATAAAGAAAATAAAGAACAAAATACAAAACTAATAAAAATTGAAACATAAAGATCTCAATCCGCCTCACTCTATAGAATCCATATCACTTCTTGACCTACTTACAAAGCCTAGCAGAAACCCAAAACTCATCAAAGCTTTCAATACAAGATTTAAGAATCACTATGCATGCTCATCTCAAAAATATAATCAATAACTTTTAATATAATCAATAATCAGTCATCTGTAGTATAAATAAAAAAGACTAGTAATGAAAAATAGGAATCATTTCATTGAAATTCATAAATCAACAACATGTGTGAGAATATAAATCCATCAATAATTAATGAATTAGGATTTTGGGGAATAACACATTGGTACTGTAATCATTCAATATTATCATTGTCAGAGAGGTGAATCATGAACGTGCATGAGTCATATCGGTAGGCTATGTATCAGTAGTGTTTATATATGCTTGGTATAGCCATCTATAATCTATAAAACCATGAAATGGTATATGCATGAACATGAATCAGTTATATGCTATCAATATCATATAGTTCAGCAAGGCAGGTCATCCAGCTTTAATATAGTATTTTTAACATCTTTTACCCAAACTATTTCCCAGTTATCATCAATCATGTCTATCACATTAATCATTTATTTAGTAAAATCAATTATCATTATAGGTGGCTTCCAATAATATATAAAGAGTCATCAATCTCTATCCTTCAACATAATTCATCCATCTATTACATGCTACTAGAAGGATCACACAACAAACCTTTTATTTTAAAGAAAGCTCATCGGCTCACTCTCATATACTGTTTATTATATTTAAGAGCCAACCCTTATTGATTATATTATTATTAGCTAGCCTCCTTTTCTTACATGAAAATTCCATCTTTATCTTGAATATATGATATATGTCTTTTTTTAATGTATGAAATGCAACATGAAATACATAAATATATAAAATACAAGAAAATATGTATACTATCCAATAGCTTCAAAAAATCATAATTTTCATTTTACTCAGTAAAATTTATTAATATTATAGTCAAAAAGTTTGTATAAGACATCTTTCATATATAAAAAATTATAAGATAAAAGTATAGTAAATCAGAACAAAATATGTTTTTATCATTTTTAAGAAAAATTAAATGAATATATACAAATCCATTGAATATAAAAGTAGGTTTTGGTTATTTACTACAAGAAGAAGACTTTTTCAACTAAAGCAATGAATGAAAAAAAAAAAAACCTAACTTTCTCTCTCTTCCTTGTCTTCTATTCCTCTCCCTTTCCCTCTCTTCTTCTATATTAAGCCATGAGAATGGGAGGGGGAGGAATCAAAGGCGGAGCTAAAAAAAATTTATTAGTGGGGGCTCAAATTGCTAATTTTCTAATTACTCTCAAACATCTTTGGGTGACTTTTTTTTATTTTACTTTTCTTTTTAATAGTTTATAATGAGGTAATGTTTTGATCTTTAAAAAATATTAATATTTATTTTTAATAATTAATCAAAATTTATATTCTATTAGTTTTATTAGACATAAATCTATAATTTTCTCATTTTAGTTTAAATATTGAAGCATTAGTTGTATAAAAATAAAAATTTAACACACAAATATAATATTAAATTAAATTATAATATAAATAAAAAATAGTAAGAACAAAAGCACTAATTGCTTGGAAGCCTAGTGAGTAACTTTAATTCCCAAATTTTCCCAAAAAAAAAAAAACTTTAATTCACGTAACCCAGTGCCTTGAGTTCGAATCGCAGGATTGTCGGGGTTAATTTTATTTGCTTTTTGACTTTAGTGTGGGCTTATGCTAATGGGCCGTGGGTTTGAACTGCTATATGTATATATATTTATGGGCCAGTGTAGGCCCGATGCCACCATAGCCCCCATTAAAATATAGCCCCTGGGAGGAATGGCTTAGTGCTTTAAATTTAGGATTTAATATATATATATATAAATATTATTTATGTCCTAGCATAATGATGCTCAAACATCATAGTACCACATGCTAATTAATGGTGCTTCCTTACACTAAATTATCTATTTTAGAAATATAAAAATTTTCATATTTTTCATTTTAAATTTATTTTCATAATTATCAAGTTGATATAATCTATCAACCTTAAAAAATATTACTCTTGATATTTTTACAAACAAAATAAATCAATAAAAAATAAATTCAATTCGTAAATTTGCCAAAAAAATTATTTTATTTCAAAACAAAGCAACACGATTCAAAATAAATAAAATTAATTTAAATTTGTTCACTAAAATTCCAAACAACACTAATCATTGACTTATCATTCAATTCAAACAATCAATGGTCCATTCAATCTTTCACATCATACTCATGCATGTTGATTAAGCAAATATCATTCACTATTATATGTAATGATTATCAATCAAATTCATAAGCATAACATTGAATCTTTGTCATTCCGCTGAATCAAAATGTAAACTTTGGGTAGTATTTTTGCTAGTGGTAGTTCTCTCTGACTTCCATTAGCTCCTATTTCATCGATCTTATTCATAGATCCTTCGTTATATCCCGTAGATCTGGTAGTCCTCATTCTTTTGCTCCATTTAGCCCGCTCCCCTCTAAATTTTGATCTTGCTCCCTATCATTATAGCGGACAATTAGTCATCTGGTGTCCTTGATGTCCATATTTGAAATATTATTCAATCATAAAAAAATTCTTTCTAATATATCTCTCACCATATCAAACACACTTCAGTATACTTCCCACACTCATCTTAAATAATCTTGTTATTTAAAAATATATTTCTCTTTTCGCTGCTATCTCTCTAACTCATATTATATCCCAATTTCTTCTTGTTCATATCCCACCTGAATAGTCATATAGCTAAATCATATACACCGGTCTTGCTCTCTCAACCAATTCTGAAAACTCCTAAATTCTTAATGGAACTAGTAGATGTCTCAGTTCATCTCACAGTCCCCTAAAAAATCTGTAACATTTTTCTTCCACTATACTAATCAACTGTGGAGTGTACCTTATCAATGCAATAAATCTAACTTCATACTATATCACTGTCTTTTCTCCCTGCTCCAATCATATAAAAGCCTCATCCATTTACTGTTGAGCTGATGTTGTGAGCCTTTAAAAGAAAATACAATGCAATTAGTGACAAGGCATGCATCAATTATAAAACTTTACATGTCAAAAGATCTGACAACTTGAAGTTTTCATACTCATAAAAAAATACAATTATAAGAATAAGAGTGCATTCAAAGGCCATTAGTGTTAGCTCGCACTGCTTCCACATTCCTCAGAGGGGTTAAAGGGTCACTTCTCTTAACTTTTTCAATTAAATTCTTTCACCATTCAAAAAAATAATAATCATTTCATCAAATATTTATCATATTTTGCTTTTGATGGGTGCAAGAGAAAGTGGTGACATATTAGAACATGTAAAAAATAACATATAGACTAAGAAATTGAATATGAACATTTAATTTGATTAAAAATAGCAATGACATCATGGAATATTATCCTCCCTTGAAAAGAGATCAGAGAGTGGTGAGGATGGAGAGCTTCCAATTCTCTCTTTAGACTCCATTAACATTAGTACAACTTGCCTCATTGGTGGTCTATCAAATGGTGACATATTTGTACATAACAGAGCAACTTTCAAAACTATAATCATATGATCTACAACATTATTTTCTTCCAGATTTAACTGACTATCGAGAATTCCAGAATCCAAAGAATGGTCTCTAATGTAATTTCTTACCAAAGTAACAAGATCTCCTCCTTGGTCTAAAGGTTGCACAGGTGTTCTTCCAGTAAGAAGTTCCAGCAGGACAACACCATAGCTGTAAATATCACATTTTTCTGTAACTTTCATTGTGTATGCGTATTCTGAAAAAAAAAAAACAGAAGGGAAGGGATAATGAATGTGTCAGAAAAGGAGAAATGAGGAAAAAATAATGCATCAGGAAAAAAACTGCAATGAACTATATATAAATTATGACATTGGTTATTATAAAGAATGACCTTCCTCCTAACTAGAAAAAGTGTTAATATAATTAATAGGCTTGCCCTGATGTCTCATGTGGTGATAGTGAGAAAAGTATTGAGGTGTTAGAGTTATTATTAGGCAATGAGTGTTAAATGATAATTGATAGGGAACGGAAAAAATTGGGTGATGGCGGGTGATCGATATTATCATTCTTTAGATAGGAGGGGAGAGTGAGTGACTAGGAGGACGGATTCTAGATGTTAGTGGTTGGTGGGCATAGGAAAATATGATAAACCAAATTGTAATTACAAAAGAGACCGGGCATCACAAAAAAAGATAGCACCAAAATTTATGTATTTTGGCTTAATTAAGCCTATATCCGTGACCACACAAAGATGAAATAACTCACTAAGCTTCAAATGAGGTATATGAAGAATTATACTAATTATAAAATTGGAGATAGGGACAAATATATCACTTTTCCTAGCTAAGCGAATTTATTCACCTACTATAAAGATGAATAATAAGTGTGGAGAAAAATAAGTTATTTCAATTATTATCTTCTCCTCTATATTATAGAAAGTAAATGAGAACAATTCCTTGCAATGACCAAGAGTGCTAGAATTAAAAATAACAACACTTCTTACTTCTTGAAAAACCAAAGAACTCTGCCTGTAAAGACCCACAAATTTTTTTTTACTTTCTCGAATGACACTCCTCTCCTCTCTTTCTCATCTTCTCCTCTTATTGTTACTTTTGGTTGCAAATGCTTCAAAACCATATAACCATCTCTTTAAGGTTCACAAATTTAATTTGATCAAACACAAATTTAAACACAATTTCATATCATAAAGCTTCGAAGCATTTGGTTCAGAAACTTCAGGAATCGATTTTGTGATCATCTAAATTTCATTTTAAATAAATTTATAGACGATGCAATGTGATTTGATGGGACATTCAAAAAGATCAAAATCATGCAAAATTGAGTCCAAATAAGCTAATATTAAGCACTAATAGCATAATTCAAAACTTTAAGAGATCATTTGAGCAATTAAACACCCTCCAAATTTGCATGTTTATGGTTGAAACAAACATTAATGGGACGAATTCACTGAGTCAATGGTTGCATAATTCCTAGTTCATTAAGAACTTGAGAAGTCTAAAAAACATAGAAGATAAAAGGGGAACTACTCGAACTATCCAATGTAATATCCAAGATCCTTCTAGAAATGAGCAGAATGTTACCCAAGAAATTTATAATTGGCCCTGCTCCTTTGCAATTAAGAGTGATTTTTACTAGAGAGAATTCTCAAGTTTAAAGAATTTTAAAGCTTTGATTGTTATTTGGAACCTCAATTGCTACATTTGGAATTTCACTTGTCCAAATTTCTTAGGCATTTATTTGGTTAGAAGAACAACCATGTCAACTACATTTTAGTACCTAATTTTTAATTTTGGCCTCCTTTGTCACCATCCATCGACGTTAGCAACTATCAGTGTTCTTTGCCATCACTCGTTATCAGCTGACATTGAAAATCATCATCACCAGTCCTTTGACATCCACTATCACTCGTCCATCATAGCTCATGCTGATTGATGTCAACAATCATCTTAGCTCGTTTTTTGACACCCATTTTATCATTCACACCCAATCCATCTTATTAAGAGAACCATCAAGACAGCTTTCCATGTCCCTTGAATCCCAACATTGTTCATCGTTCATCATCCAATGCTTGCCAACGATTGATCTTTGATGTTTTGCAGCCATAGATCTCCAATACATGCATTCTCGACCATCAATCTTTCTTCCCATCAAGAGAAAAATCAAGCTTATTGCTCATCATCATGTGAAACTTCCAACATTTCCTAGTGATTAACAACTATCAATTCTCATTTTTTTCAATCTGACAGCTATCAATCACTAAAATTGAATTCTCAAATCTCAGTCGCTTAGTCTCCCCTCCTATTAGGAAAATGACCAAGTCGGCCAGCTATCGTCCAGTGACTTCTTACATTTCCCATTGATTATTGTTCGATGTCTTTCGATGATTGATGTCTACCTACTATCGACGTCCAATGCTCATCCTCTCGATTGCTAGTTCTTTCCTTCTATCAAAAGAATGACTAACCTATACTGCTCATTATTGTTTGACCCACATCATCAACTAATACCCAATTCTTATATTCTCGAACAACTGGTCTTCCCTCATATCGAGGGAATGACCAAGTTGACCACTTATCATGAAGGGACTTCTACCGTTTTCTGTCGATTATTGCTTGATGTTTATGAAAGTTTGATGTTTTCCTACTATCAATATCTAATGCTCATCTTCTGAGTCACTAGATCTTCCCTTCTATGAGAAGAATGAATATTTTTACTTCAGTCTTTTTCATCTTAACTACTAGTTTTTGAAACAAAATAAGAAACAATAAGATCAAACACGAAAAGATAAGTTCACCTTGAAAAGGAATGTAATGACATAATTTAACTTTTTGTCATAAAAAAATCATCATACTTTTATTGCTTCATCATCTAAATATTATAAGCTCTATTGAAACCGCTGTATTTGTTGTTTTAATATTCACCAAAACAATGCTGACATCTCAATAATCCTGTTTTGATTTTCAAACTTTTCAAATGATTTATAATACTTAAAAAAATAAAAATAAAAAAAATTATGCTTTAGGTGCAATTTTAAATGGGTTTAAATAACATAAATCTAGTTAATTACCCTTTAGAAAGAATTATAAAGTTGCCAAGTTGAAGGCATTTTTTGAAATTTTTCCTATCAACAATAAGATATTAAGAACCATAGAATAATAAATGAAGTGCTAAAAAAAGGACAAACCTGGTGCAATATATCCATAGGATCCAGCAACAGCAGACATAGATTTCGACTGTGGCATATCAATCAGTCTTGCTAATCCAAAATCACCTACATGTGCTTCAAAATTATCATCAATTAAGATGTTATTTGACTTGATATCTCGGTGAATAATCCGTGGCTTACAGTCATGGTGCAGATAAGAGAGACCATGAGCAGCACCAAGTGCAATCATGAACCTCGTATCCCAATCAAGGTTCGGAGATTGCCGATGAAGCATCTCGCCGAGACTACCCCTCGACATGTATTCATAAAGAAGAAGATTTGAACCTTGATGATAGCAGTAACCATACAATTTAACAATATTCCTATGTCTTATATTACCAAGAGTCAATATTTCTGCATGGAAGCTATTGTCAGTATTACTACCTTCTCTATTAGATGAAAGCTTCTTCACAGCAACCACCAATCCATCACTCATAACAGCTTTATATACAGTTCCACATGCACCCCTTCCAATGGAAAAAGCTTCATCAAAATTGTTAGTGGCTGCGATTAGGTCCTGGAATGTAAATCCATTCTTCGGGCAAATAGACAAGTCAGAGGTTGAAGATGAAAGCGGTTTGTCTTGGAAAGGTGCAATGGTTTCGACCGGCTTTCTCATGTAGTAGATGATAACTGCTATAAGAATAAGTGCAATTCCTCCAACAGATGCTGCAGTTATTGCAACAATCTTACCTACTGGGTTACCAGCTGATTCTGAATCTGGTAGAGGAGTTGGAGGTCCATTACAACTGGCAAGAGGTTCTCCACAAAGACCCTTATTTCCTATGAAACTACTTGAAGGCATATTTTGAAAGAGTGGTAGTGATGGGATAGGTCCTGTGAGTTTATTATATGAGACATTCAGACCAAGCAAGCTGGATAGATTCACAATGGTAGAAGGGATTTCACCATTTAAATCATTATTGTTGAGTAAAAGATATTCTAGTAAAGCTAAGTTCCCAAGCTCAGGTGGTATATGACCAGATAGATTGTTATAGCTGAGATTCATTGCAATCTGTAAGCTTGCAAGCCCACCTAGCTCCTTCGGAATGCTACCAGAAAACTGATTCCCACCCAACTGCAACTCTGTTAAATGAGAAAGATTGCCAAGAATGGAGGGAATTGTTCCTGAAAGCTTGTTATCAGAAAGAATTAGCAGTTCCAACTGTAGGAGGGTTCCTAGCTCATTTGGTAGCATTCCAGTAAACCTGTTCTGGCTGAGATCAAGTCTTTGAAGTGCCTTGCAACTAACTAATTCTGGTGGGATTCTTCCTTCAATTCTGTTAGATGAGATGTTGAAGAAAACCAACTGTGATAAATTACCAATCTCTTGAGGAAGCTCAGATGTGAAGAAGTTAATTGGGAGAGAGAGTCTTTGCAAAGCTTTGCAGTTTCTAATCTCAACAGGAATAGGGCCACTAAATCTGTTCCGGTCCAACTCAATAATGCTCAAGTTAGTAAGCTTGCATAAATCAGCAGGGAAGCTACCAGTTAGATCATTATCACCCAACCGAAGCTGTACCAATGACTTGCAGGTTGTGATTCCGCTGGGAATATTACCAGTAATCTTGTTGGACCACAAATTTAACATAATAAGGTTGGAATGTTTGCATAGATGGCTAGGCAATTGGCCACTGAGATTATTGTTTGAAAAATCTGCAACCCATAGAGGACTATAAACGCCCAGTCCTTGAGGAATAACACCGGAAAGATTGTTGTCGAAGAGCTGAAACTGAAGTAACTCAGGCAAGTACTGCAATCCAAGTGGGATGGATCCTGTGAGGTTATTAATTGAGAGATCAAGCTTTGTCAAATTCCACAATTCACACAACTCAGCTGGGATGATACCACCTAGCTGATTTTGGAAGAGGTATAACAACCGCAAATCCTTCAAGTTTCTCAATTCTGCAGGAATTTTTCCCACCAAGAAATTTTCGGAGATATCAATTTCCTGCGCCAGTGTAAGATTACCTATCTCCTTCGGTATAGTTCCATTTAGTCCATTCTGGTATAGATATAGGTTCTTTATATTTTTCAAGTTCCCAATTTCTACAGGGATTCCACCAACAAAATTATTCTGGTATAGTGCAAGTGTCACTAAGCTTGTGCAATTGCCTAACTCCTTGGGGACAGATCCAGACAAATCATTGTCCCAAAGAATCAGTTCTCTCAGGTACTTGAGCTTCCCAATCTCTCTTGGAATCTCACCTCCAAGCTGGTTCTGTGCAAGGCCCAGAACTTCTATCCTTTCACATTCACTTATCTCAACAGGAATGCTCATGGAAATCATGTTCTGCCCGGCGCGAAAGATCACCAAGTTCTTGAGTTGGCCAATTGATGGAGGAAGTGCACCAGTGAGGTTGTTGGTGAATGCTACTAACTCTACTAGGGAAGAGAGGTTGCCAATCTCATCAGGAAGAGATCCAGTAAGCCTATTGTTACAGATATTGCACTTAATTAAAGAGGTCAAGTTGCCCAATTCAGGTGGTATTTGGCCTTCAAATTTATTGTTGTTCAAGTACATAACTTCTAGCTTTGAGCACATTCCAATCTCTGCAGGGATAATTCCTGAGAAGTCATTGTAGGAGAGATTAAGATAAGATAAGTGCACTAAACCACCAATGCTTCGGGCGAGAACACCGGACAAATTTAAGGAACTGAGATCAAGGGAGATGACCAATGGATCATAGTCGCTCGAGCAGTTCACGCCAGTCCAGCCACAAGGTGTTACATCTCCAGATTTCCAATTGTCAAGGTGTTTCAAATCATCCTTGAGTTTGCTCTTAATATCCAAGAGGTAATGCCCTTCCATGTTAAGCCCTTGGGATTCATTAAGAAATAAAAAAACCAGTAGCACTATAACTAAAGAGGTGCAGGAAGGATGAACTCTATCTGATTTCAACATATTCATTTCAATGAGTGTTGATATGATAAAATGAATTTCAGTCTCCAATAAGTGGTTTGAAACCATCAAGAGATATAATCTCTACACTACTTGTTAGAACACTCCATGAACTGAACCTACAGAAGACAAAAACGGTTAAAATTAAGATCAATTTAGTCACATAAAAATATAGGAAAACACAAAACAACGCATGTTCCAAGTAAAGAGTAAGAATAGAACCCTATGGGGCCATTTTTTATCCTATTTTAGAGAGGATTTAAACAAGATTTAAGAATTTCTCTCTCACTAATCTTCAATACTGAAACAAATTGTCAAATAGTTTATCAAGACTTAGCACGACTTAACTGTTGTCCTGCCAAAGAAATTTCAAATTATAATCCTCTCACGATTTACCAAATTTGAATTTAAAGGATTTTCTGAATCAAACTAGAAGTAAATCCTACTTGTAGCCAAACAGCTTCAAAGAATCCAAGAATAAAAAACCTTAGCGGTTCCAAAAGCTCCCAAGCATCAAGGAAAATAGAATAATGGCTTCCAATTTTTCTTGGTGAGAAGCATAAGCTATCCCACCATAGCCCACCAGCTCCAGCTCCTGAATTCAAAACATCTTTCGATATAAACTCTCAACCAACTTAATTAACGCAAGCCAGAATCTTCAAGAATAGATAATTCAATCCAATTCAAAACCTCAACATCATTGACCATTTGAATCAACCCTTGCTAATCCAATCCCGCTTCATTTCTAGTACTATTAATTCAAGCTTCCTCTATCAACTAAAATAAATAACAAAAAGCCATTAAAAGCTACAACTCACCCTTGACCCACATCTCTCATTCACAAAATTGGCGAGAAAAGAATGGAATCTTCTCAGCTACTCTTCCCTTCTCACAAACCAAATAGAGTCCCAAAACCAAATAGAATCCCTTTATATCTTCAATCCATTAGAGGAAAGAGCCACGAAAAATAAAAAACCCTAGATGTCGCTTCTTCTTGTAGGGGAACAGATAGAAACCTACTTCACCTCTCCCGATAGATTCCAACGAAAGTGAGCTTTCCACATTTTACAAGCGGCATGTGATAAAAATCCCACCTTTTCTGTTCAATTTTCCTTTTTTTTTTTCCCACTCCACAATAATCTCCAGAGTGCCGATAAAAAAAGCTAAGAAAAGCGAAAATAATAAATTCAAAAAACAGAGGAAACGTGAAACAGAGTAAGAGCAAGCGAGCGGGCAAAGTAGAGTTTTTAATGGCCGGCAAGCACGTTATCAATTTCCTCTTCAGTCTTTCTGTCCAAATCCAAAGGCCCCCCCACCCACTCTCACCACTTTCCCTTCCCTCAACAACAACAATTTCGCCTTTCTCTGACTCCTTTATTTCCTTCCATCTATCTGCTTCCTGTTTAAGAAATCTAGTTCAGATTTCAGATAATAATCATAAATAAAATCACTTGATGTATCAGTGCAGCTATACTTCTTCAACTGAGATGTAGTGATGTGATACAAGTAGATTATATATGTTATGATTTGTGGTTTTAGTGTATTTTGTCTTCATATATAGGAGAAATTATTATGTGTGGAGATGGTCCGGAGATAAATCAGGACGCTCCATATCATTTGATACACATCAGTACATAGTGACGTAACACAGTGTATTGGTGACGTGGAACGTCACAATTGGCCTCCTGACAACATCCGATGATCGCATTTAATAATTTCTCCATATATTGACTCCATTCAACTTTACTGTTTCTATCATTCTATTGTTTATTGTACTATTTTGTTATTTCTCAAGATCACAAGCTATTATTATGTGCGAATACTAGACGGTTCTCCAGTCTAGTTATGCGCTCGGTACCGAGCGGTACTAGGCGGGATAAACTTTTGGGATGACATGACACATTTTTATTGGTCTCCGGACGCCTTCCAGACTTCGTAAAGAATAATAAATCCAAGATCACAAGGTAATGCACCTTGATAATATGGGACATGATGAAGAGATACATAATTTTTTTTTTTTTGTACTCTGAAAGAAAAAAATTATATACAGATAATATAACAAAATAAATCAAAGTAAATACTAGAAAATAAAATCAATTCTTGATATCATTGTTATAAATCAAAATTATAACACATCTATAAGTTTGAAACCATAATATATGAAAAATGAACTAAAAGGAACTAAAAGAAACAAAATTTTATGAAAAATGAATTAAAAGAAATAACTATTAAAATAAAACTATACAAATACCAAATAGTTCTACTGCTGATAAATTTGTCCTTGTGATGAAGTTCCACCAAACACTCTATTAGATCCTACTATGAAAAAAATTAACATGTAATTCCTATCCATTAAACTATAAACGTAGCAAAACAACAAGTGAATTTCCGAATTTCAAACCAACAAATAACTCATATTTATAATAGAAGTAAAAAACAAAAACTATTTTCTTTAAAAAAATTGTCAAAAACAAATATAAGCAGAAGCGAATATAGAAGATATTTTTTATCATTTTTGTTTTCTAAAATTTTTATTTTTCTAATTAAGAAAGCTTAATTCAATTTCAACAAACTCAGCTCATTTTTGCATGAAAGTAAATTTGCAGGAAATAAAAATACAAAAAATAGAAGTCAATGTCTAAATAGAGGGGCAAATGATTCTTCAAAATTAACGTCTTCTATTTGATTGTACCCCTTAGCTAATAATCTAACATTGTTTCTAATCACAACTCTAGAGTCATTTATCTTATTCTTAAACATCCATTTAGTTCCTACAACACTTTGATCCTTTAGTCTACTAACTATTCTCAAATATTATTCCTAATGAATTGATTCAATTCTTCTTGCATAGTTAGGATTCAGAATTCCTTAGATATGTCTTGATCTATATTAATGAGTTTTAATATAGAGATGAATGTAGAATGACAAATTTCCTTCCTAAGTCCATGATTAGTATTAACTCCTGCAGATGGATCTCCTAAGATTAATTCCCTAGGATGTAGATAAATATTTCCAATCTCTGGCAATGGATTATGAGACTCTAATTTAGTTTCTAGGTCAATAAATTATATTCCTTGGGTGGCCTCTATCTTTTCTTCTTCTTCTAACCTAGGCTCAACAGATCTATCAGATTCATCAAATATAACATTGATGGTCTCCTCTACCATTAGGGTTCTCTTATTGAAAATTCTATAGGCTTTACCTATAGAAGAATAACCTAAGAAAACTCCATTAGGTCAAATTTTCCTATACTAGATTTTATTATTGAGCACAAAAACATCTAAACACAAAGACAATGTAAATGAGAAAGATTGGGCATCCTACCCTTAAGTAACTCATGTAGTGTATCATTGAGTTTGGATCTAACATTAACTCTATTCAATACATAACAAGGAATATTTATTGCTTCTACCAAAAAATACCTAAGGAGATAATATTCAACTAATATATCTCTAGCAGCTTAACCCACCAACGGCTCTTTCGCTCTGGCATCTGTGGCGATTTCTCGATGATTCTAGGACTCCTTCTCACGCGCTAGATTTTGGCCCTCCTGACTTGATTTCTTTGTGTTTTTCGATCGATCTCTTTGGCTTTACTCATATTGTTATCTCTATTTTGCTGATTTTGGGGTTTCATTTGTTTTTCGGTGTTGGGCGATGATGATTCCGTCATCATTGAACCTGACATCTACTTCTCTTTGTGAGGTAAAATCTCGATCATTCAAAGATGTTCTGGCTAGTACATCATCTACTTCTCATAAACTGCATTTTGTTCATTCTTCCTTCAAGGGCTATTTGTCCCTATTGTTTAAGGATTTGGTTGTCAATCAGTTGGCTGCTCCTTATGCTTTGACACTGGTGGGTAAATTTGTGTTGAGGCGACCGAATCTTGATGTTATACGTAAATTTTTCCTTCTAAAGCTTTCCAAATTGTTTCACATTGGCTTACTTGATCAAAGACATGTTGATATTCAACATTCTAATGATCTTGATTATAGTCGCATATTTGCTAGGAGATCTTATTATATCCAAGCGTGTCAAATGCAGTTGCTTAAATGGACTCCGGATTTTGATGTTATGGGGGAATCTCCTATTGCGACGGTTTGGACTTCTTTCTCTAATTTGAAACTTCACTTTTTAATCATCAAATCCTTTTTGGTATGGCCTTTATATTTGGGCGACTGTTACAAACTGACCAAGCCACTGCCTCTGTGTCAAGGCCGTCTGTTGCTCGGGTGTTGGTTGAATTGGATGTCTCTAAAAAATATCTTAGTGAAATATGGATTGGGTAAGAAGTCAAGGGTTATTTCCAAAAAGTTTATTTTAAAAATTTACCTATCTTTTGTTCTTTTTACAAGGCGCACGATCATGGTATGAACGATTATTTTCCGAAGTATCCCCATCTTCGTAGAGAAAAGAACTCATTGAAACAAACGGATGGGGTGGTTGGTCAAGAAGTTACTAATCCTATTCAGGTTCTTTTAGAGGGTAATACCTCTAATCCGCCTTAAACTATTAAGGAGCCATTGGTTGTTACAGTTGAGGACCCTCTTTTCTATTATTACCAATGTTGTTTCCTTGAATTAGGATCAGGGAGTTATTGTTAAAACGTTTATTATTTCATCTATTGATTGTGAGAATAATGTGGGGCGTACTTTTCCTAATATTGAAGTCCAAAATGATGTTAATGTTGCATATACCCCTTCTTGCATTATTAATCAAAATGTTTATGATTCCAATGGTATTATGTTTTCCCATACTCCCTCTAATCCTTCAAATGAACATGAATTTGTGATTGGAGCTAATGTTGCTATTCAATTGCCTTTCAAAGAAGGTGAGAGGAATGACATTCCATTAGAGGAATGAATTTGTTTCTATGGAGCATAGCTCCCCTCTCTCTAAATGCATTGAAGATCTTGTTGTGAGGGCTAATGATAATTTCGAGGATGATGATATGTTTATGGAGGATGAATATCCTCAACAGACTATTCAAAAGAACCAACATAATGATAGTAAGACTCCTTCAACCTCTAATTATAATAGTGATGCTTTTACTGATGCTGAGGATATGCATATTGCTGCTAAATGTTTTGCCATGGATGATAATGATACTAATTTTATTAAAGTTCATAGTAAAAGAGGGAGGAAATCAAAACATATTTCTTTGAAACCTCCTAAAAACACTCGCTTGCATACTTCCCATTAAGTGTTTCTTTATGTTTAATGCTATTATTTGAAATATGAGGGGCATTGGTTGTTCTTCTTCTAGAATTCTTGTTAAAAATATATGTCATGTTCATAATATTTATATTCTTGTGTTGCTTGAGCCTCTTATTTCCTCTTATAGGTTGTTAAGCACCTCTCAATTTTTGGGTTTTAATTATCATATTTTGAACATGGCTAATAAGATTTGGGTTTTATGGAAAGACCCGATTAAAATTGATGTTATTGGTAATTTTACTCAGGTCATGTATTATAAAGTGGAGGTTCTTAATTTTCATTATTGTGCTTCTTTTGTGTATGCAGCCTCATCTTTTTACATTAAAAAACTGCTTTGGGATCAACTTATTAATTTTTATAGTATTTATAATTTACCTTAGCTTGTTAGTGGTGACTTTAATGCTATCACTGACCCCTCTAAAAGAATAGAAGGTTCCTCTCCTTCTTATTGCTTTATGGAGGATTTTAATAATATGAATCTAGCTTTCAATTTAATTGGTATTGGTTTTGTTGGTAATAACTTTACTTGTAATAGGGGTCACTTATGGCAAAGGCTGGATTGTGTGCTTTTTAATGACTTTTGGCTGAATTATCTTAACTCCACCAATGTGCAGCATCTTAGTAGAACTTTGTCTAATCATTCTCCTTTGCTTATTAGCCTTAATTTTAGACAAGTTAATGTGTCTTCTCAATTAAGATTCCAAAACATGTGGTTATTTCATGACTCTTTTTTTGATGTTGTTTAAAATAATTGGCAAGCTCCTTTACACCCGAATAATTCTAGTTTTGGCAAGATGAGACTTTGGTTTAAGATGAAAAGGTTGAAACAAGTTTTAAATTGGTGGAACCATTATATTTTTAGAATTTTTTTTTCTAACATTTTGCAAGATGAACAACTTGTTAATTCTAATTGAGCTTTCTTGTCAAGATCACCCTACTGATGCTAATTTTGCTCTTTTAAAGAAGTCTAAAGAAGAACTTTTTAATTTCCAAGCTCAAAAAGAGATCTTTTAGAAGCAAAAAGCTGCTGCTAAACACTTGGTTGAAGGTGATAACAATACTAAATATTTCCATGCGTTGGTTAAGATGAAAAGGGTTAAAAATAATATCAATAAAATCCAAAGGGATGATGGTTATGTTATTGAGAATACTGTGGAGATTGTTAATTTAGCTGTTCAACATT